AGGTAAATAATATCTGCATATATGAGCTATGATCATCTCTAGAGCAGACATTAGATGAAGATGCATATATGAAGTAGAGCCTAACATGTCTAGGGCAAACACTAGAACAAGGAATTGTTGCAGGACTTCTATCAGGAAAGATAAGAACACGTACGAGACAGCAGCAGGAGCTGAGGCACTAGACTTGGGGTCAGTGTCCTCCATGCCGTCGAGGAGGTTGTCAACATCAGAGAAGTAGTTGTCGTCAGGGAAGTAGTCGTCGGAGTCCGGGGCGTCCGTGATGAAGAAGTCAGTAGTCGCGCAGAGCGCTCCCCAAAAACCTTATCGCCCTTCTCCCATACAGGACTCAAAAGGTGCGGTTTCGAAGGCCTACTGTCCCGACCTACGGTGCACGCCGCAAGCCGGGATGGAGAAGATCGTAGCAACATCGCAGTGCTCAGGAACCGGTGGCGACTATCGCAAAAACGTTTCAGCTTCTGTGTGACCTTTCGTATACTCGTCGTGCGTGGCAAAAATTTTGACACCGGCTCGGCTCATTCCCGCAACCCGCGGCGCGGCGCGGCCGGCAGAGGAGGAGCGCGCGTGGATGTCCCTCTTGTTCTCATGCTCATACATGTGGGGAAAGAACCTCTCTTATAAAGAGGTCCAACTCTCTCTAAACTAGCAATGTGGGACTAAACTTTAGTTTCACCTCTTGCCTTGCACGAATGGGCTGCGTGGGCCTCTAGGATTTATTAGGAATTTCTGAAACTGTTATTGGGCTGGCCCATAATAGACAAAATTTCAGCAGAATCTATGGTCTATGTACTTGTGAGAAAAATCTCAACAAATAAGGGTCCATATAAATCACGCAAAATATGATCACATGCGTCATGTTTAAAAGTTAAGTTGAATATTTTTCACTTTTTGTCCAGATACATTTGATCATTTTTCATATTTTTGCATGATGTTTAGAAGTGGCATAACATCACATTGCTATAACACTGTTAAAAAAATTAGATGATGTAAAGATGCACAAGTACCTAAACTCAAGCACAAACGATTATATGTATAAAAGTTATAATCACTTCCAAATTTTCTATCAATAAAAAACACGTGTATTGGCCAAATAAGATTCCCGCCTCAAGTCCACATGCGAATGTAACGCTATAACAAATGTTCTGTAAATCATCGAACATTGGAGGGTAGCTTAGATTTCATGTGGGAGAACTACATAAGGTATGTGAAACATCTACATAATGAACACTGCATCTGTTGCAGTATTGAACCTTTTTTTTCTTTTTGGGAAAAGGAGGACAACCCCCTCCCCATTTAAAGATGCACACAACCATATATCATTCAAGAACAAAATCCAGCAGCCAAACAAATTTGACACAGAAAAGAAAACCCAAGGCTGCATGCCTTGCGTCAATAGCTCACCAGTCAACCACTAACCCTATAATAAAAGACCAAACAAACGAAAAGTACACAGCTCCTAAGCTAAGCCGCCAGGAAGGAAACGTCGCATGTGCGCCGATGATGATGAGCTCAACCCTAGGCTGGTCTCGTGATTTAGATCCCCAAAGTTGAGTTTCGATTCACAATCTTTAGCAAGGAGACGATGCAGGCATGCATCAACATTGCATGATCAGAGATCTTCGTTTCCATTGAAGTGCGCATACTCGTCGTTGAAGCCGCCTCTGCCATCATCCCTTGTCCAACTACCGACACCTTGATATCCAGATACCTCTGGAGGAGAAAAGACAAAAACGTCCCATACCGCCTCACCTCCCGTTACCATCGCACACCTTCAATCCAGCAACAATATGCATGACATGCCACATCTATAGGAGCCACCACGCTTAGCAGCTACTAGCAGCATGCATGACTTGGCGCCTCCACATGAGTCGTCGTCGTGCATAGCACCTGCCAATGATATGCATGACTTGGCACATCTGAAAGAATCACCGTGCATAGCACCTGGCGAGCCGGACCGGACCCTATCTAGAGTTGGAGGGGGCGTCCCATACCGATCCCGACCGTGGGAAAGGTAATCACCATCTTCAAATCTGACCGCCGTGTTGTCACATGACCATGGTGCCGTCACCGTCGAAAAACAAGGCCTTAAGCCCCTATGTCGGTGGCAAAACCGACGGATCTCGGGTAGGGGGTCCCGAACTGTATGTCTAAGGCTAATGGTAACAGGAGGCGGGGGACACGATGTTTACCCAGGTTCGGGCCCTCTCTATGGAGGTAATACCCTACTTCCTACTTGATTGATCTTGATGATATGAGTATTACTAGAGTTGATCTACCACGAGATCGTAGAGACTAAACCCTAGGAGCTAGCCTATGATTATGATTATCGTTGTCCTACGGACTAAAACCCTCCGGTTTATATAGACACCAAAGGGGGCTAGGGTTACACAGAGTTGGTTATAGAGAAGGGAATCTACATATCCGAATCGCTAAGCTTGCCTTCCACGCAAAGAAGAGTCCCACCCGGATACGGGACGAAGTCTTCAATCTTGTATCTTCATAGTCCAACAGTCCGGCGTAAGCATATAGTCCGGCCGTCCGAGGACCCCCTAATCCAGGACTCCCTCACCCTACCCCCAAACTTGCGCACCACCAGCAGATCAGGACAACTGTCACCATGTCACGCCGCCCATAAGACAAAGCCACACAGTAGTCGCCACTAGGGCACCACTGAGAGTAGAAAACCGTCCACATGGGATCAATCAACGTCACTCCACCCCCGTACGAGGACCGTCGCAGACAAATTGGCACCGCAATCTGCTCATCGAGGGTACGCCGACCCGCATTGTATCTGAACCCCCACCGCCATTGACACCCCGTGGACACCGCCATACTACACCCTTGGGCAGCGGCGAGGGAAGGAGGGACGGCGGGAGAGGTGCTTTGAGCGGCATCTAGGGCTCTTGGACCACCCGCTGGGGTGAGCGAGAATCAGTCTTTTTTGTCAAGCAACACAGAACCTGAGGATTTTGAACACCTTTTGGTGGGTTTCTCGGTATTTTGCATGTGATGGAGCCGGGTGCTCAGTTCGATTGGTCTCCCAGCAACCTTTGCCCATCATTTGCAGCTCGTTTGGTGACTAGTGGACGGGAGAAGCTAAACATCATGGTCGTTTTGGTCGCTTAGTCAATTTGGTTGCATTTGCTTATAAGCCAGTAAAACACCTATTTAGGTGCTTTGGTCTTTGGCTTTTGGATTTTGTCTTTAAATAGGTCAAAAGTCAAAGCCAAAGCTGAAAGCACGTAATAGGTGTTTTTTTTTGCTTATAAGCCAAAGCGAAAAGACCAAGTAAAAGCCCAACCAAACACCAACTAGGGAGGCGCGGTGTTATCGAAAAAGGGTTTTCCCCCGCTTTGTATTCCAAAGCAACCAGCACCGAGTACAAAGATCACTGTGGCGAGCAGCACAACAAGCCAAAAGAAAAAGAAGAAGAGACAAATGCCAACCACGGCAACTCGGCAAAGCGCGGATGACCCGCCACCGCGGCGCCCACCAGATACAAACCACCACAAGCTGAAGCTCCGAACCGCCGCGTACCAAGCAACACCTCCAAGAAGGGATGCGACGCCGACGATGCTGCTGCCCGGACGAGTCCTAGGGTTTTCCCCGGCACGCGGAGGGAGGTGGGGGATGGATACCACCAACACCCTCCAGGAAGGAATGGTGGCATCCGCAGGTATCACTGCATCGGGGCCGAAGCCGGCAGGGATTTCTCCCGCACTCCAAAACTAACCGCCCAACCGGACGGAGCCGACCCGCCAAACCGTCGCCCACCACCATGCGCTAAAGCAGTTGCGCCGCCACCCACGCGCCTCACTACGAACACCACCACACAACCAAGAGGACCAGAGAGAAGCGCACCACGAGGGAAGCAGCAACACCGAAGCTGAGCGGGAGGGAACCACCTTCACCGCCATCGTGCGGGAGGCCCGTGCGTCCGGCACCGTCGCGGTCGCCGTCCGGACGCGGCGGCGGGGCATGCCGAGCCACCCCTGGCCCAGCCAGGCCCGAAGCGGGCTTGTTAAGCCCCGCCGGCCACAATGCAACAGGCCGGCGTCGGCGCCGCCAGCACCCACCCGCTCGTCGCGTCTCCCCCGCCTCCCGTAAGCCACGCCGGAGACCGTCCCCGCCGCCGGCCCGCCCAGGCCCAGATGGGGCCCGAACGGCTCGGGTCTGGGCCGAGCGGGTGACGCCAGATCACGCCGCCCCGCCGCCAACGGCGCCGCCGCCGCCTAGTTGCTCGCCTGCGTCGCGCCACGGAACCCCGCCACCACGCCAGACCGTCGCCGCCTAAGTGCATCCCCCGGTGCAGCTCCGCCCGCGCCGAAGAGCGATGAGGGGAAGGGCAGGGAGGCCGCCGCCACCAACAGACCCGGGGCCAAGCCGGCTGCGGGCGCCGGCGACAGCGGCTGGAAGGAGGGAGGAGGGAGGCCGCGCGGCCGATCGCCCGCGAGGGGCGACGCGGTCGCGAGAGGAGGAAGGTGGGTTTCCCCATGGCCGCCGGGGGGCGCGGTGTTTGCCCTTGTGTGCTGTGTTGAGGGAGTGGCAGATTTTTTGTATGTTTTTAAGACTTTGATCTCTTGTCTTTTCCTATAATTAATCACATGCGGTTCTCCTGCATGATTCGAAAACACACGTGTATTTGCCAAAAAAAAAAAGAGTACCACCTCAAAGTCCACGTGCAAATGGAATGGTATAGCAAATGTTCTAATACTACTAATATAGATCAACAAACATTGCAGGGCAGCTTAGGTTTTCTGTGCGAGAACTAATTAAACTTCGCACAAACATAACTTCTCATTGCTAAAAGATCTGCATTTTCTTTTATCAATCACTTTCAGTGCTCAAAGTAAGGCAACGACTAGAACAGTTCAATGAAAGTCAAACGCAGAAAATGCTCCCAAAAAAAATGTCAAACGCAGCACTAAAACATGGCTCGTCTCCAACAGGCACATCTAAGTGACTCCTCACAGCAAATCCATTTATTTATTCTCGGAGGGTTCTGAAACAGCAGCCGCGGCAACGCGCTTCCTCGCCTCTTCGATGATGGTGAGCTTGATGCCCTTGCCCTTGGGAAGAGAGACCCACGCCTTCCTGTCCTTGCCGATGGTGAAGACGTTGGCCAGGCGGGTGACGAACTGATGGCCGAGGGCATCCTCGACGTGGATCGTCTCGAAGCTGCCCTCGTGCTTCTCCCTGCTCTTGATCACCCCGATGCGCCCGGTGTTCCTACCTCCGGTCATCATCACAAAATTCCCGACCTCAAACTTGATGAAATCCACAATCTTGTTGTTCTCCAGGTCAATCTTGATGGTGTCGTTGGGTTTGATGGCAGGGTCAGGGTAGCGGATGGTGCGGCCGTCGTAGGTTTTGAGGGAAGGGATGCCCTTCTGTCCACATTGCACAGTCCTAACCTTGCAGAGCTTGAACTGCAAAACAGATTACAAACTCAATAACAGATTAGGGTTCCGATAAAAGTGATATAATTCTCAAGCCACAAGATAATCATCACTAGGAATATGTTCTTTTTACCATTTATTGAGTTTAGTTTTTGAAAAGCAAAACAGAAAACAACCTGAGCAAAGTATACTTATGTAACCGCATTGGGAATTTTGGACAGAAAAATAGTACGAACAAGTAACTAGAAAAATCAAAACGACAGTGGGCTTTTAGGGAAGCAACTTAATCGATATATAAGTCTTGTATGATTTTTTTTAATGAATTGGACTTCTAACAATCTGGCTTCAAGTTCCTTAATTGCATCAAAGAAACACACGGAACATGGAAAATTACGGTGGTGAATTTAGCATATCACACAAGCATACCGATTGATGTAACATATCACAGAGAAGCATCCAAAGCAAGAACAGCTCGTATTCTGGACAATTGTACAGATGCTTACCTTAGCCTCCTCATCCTTGATGCTGTGGAGACGGAAGCGACCCTTGGTGTCGTAAAGAAGGCGGAAGTTCTCCCCTGTCTTCGGAATTGACACAACATCTGCAGAACAGAGTAAATTAATAACAGTCTGCAACATCTCATAAGCAAGAAAGGAAAATCTGGATCAAAACACAAGCAAGAAAAATTACCCATGAGTCCAGCAGGATATGTCTTGTCAGTCCTAACCTTCCCGTCAACCATAATATGTCGCTGCATCATGATTGAAACAACTTCACGATAGGTCAGTGCATACTTCAGCCTGTTCCTGAGCATAAGGATCAATGGTAAGCACTCCCTAGCTTTGTGGGGACCTGAAGACGGCTTGGGTGCCTGCTCAATAGAAATTATCATAAGTACTGAGCAAATATAACACATACGTATCCCGTCATTCTTTAAAATTTGAACATCATATTTAGAGTAATCAAATATACTTAATATACTTACAAATGCTCCACCAAGCTTTTCAACCATCCAATGCTTAGGGGCATTGAGTCTCTTCACATGCTTCTTCAGACCCCTCGCCTGTCAACAGAAAGAAAAGAAAAATGTATACCCAGTGATTTCTTTCAAAATTGATCCTTACATCCTTGTGCTTCTATCTATGTGTGGATTAATCATTTAATTATGTGACTCGATGGCATAGAAAACCATCAGCACAAGTAGAACAATCTAGCTAATAAAGGTTTTGCTTTACTGAAAAAAAACTTAATACCTTTGTCCTACTTCTACAGACCATACCAGAGATTGGACAACAGAATGGGCGATAACTTCACAAATGATGTAAGCTTTACCTCTAGAGCAGTGGTGTATTATTCCCGATAGCATGGAAGCGTCACATTAATAATACAGAAACTGAACGAAACTGGCTGTTAAACCATCCCAACATCCTAATTGGGTAAATTCCTTTAGCAATTAACTAGAGCAATCAAACTTTCAGAAGAAGAAAAACAGTGGCCATTGGCATGGACAAGCAGAAAAAAGTAAATCTCAATACTCATCCAACTTGCATCCGTCATAACTTGAAATCGACAAAAAGAATATTCCACTATGCGGTAACGCGCTGTTTCTAGAGCTACATTAAGATAGCTCCCTAGCAAAACAAAAATCTGAATTGCAAAGGTCATGATCCAGTGACTAGTCCTGTATATCACACAATTAACGTTTTGAATTAGAAATGGCTATGATGAGTTAATTGCATGTTAGTACCACACTTCAGCACCTACTCACGAATTGGTACCATTACTCAAAAGTTCTGCAGTTCAATACCAATTCAGGGCCTAAGTGTTACAAAACGGTCTAAGCTGCGTATAAACGCGTATTGACGCTGTATCTGACCGCTGAGACCCGCTGGCAGGGGCTGATGTGGCATGCTCTTTTACAAAAAGAACCTTTACTTTTTATTTAATCACGCATATATCCTTTGTTTGTAAAAAAAAAGTCTTGCTGCAAAAAAGAAATTCGAAAATAACCACACACGCATGCTGCCGGGTTTCGAACCACGTATAACTTGCATCCGTTATAACTTGAAATCGACAAAAAGAATATTCCACTATGCGGTAACGCGCTGTTTCTAGAGCTACATTAAGATAGCTCCCTAGCAAAACAAAAATCTGAATTGCAAAGGTCATGATCCAGTGACTAGTCCTGTATATCACACAATTAACGTTTTGAATTATAAATGGCTATGATGAGTTAATTGCATGTTAGTACCACACTTCAGCACCTACTCACGAATTGGTACCATTACTCAAAAGTCCTGCAGTTCAGTACCAATTCAGGGCCTAAGTGTTACAAAACGGTCTAAGCTGCGTATAAACGCGTATTGACGCTGTATCTGACCGCTGGGACCCGCTGGCAGGGGCTGATGTGGCATGCTCTTTTACAAAAAGAACCTTTACTTTTTATTTAATCACGCATATATCCTTTGTTTGTAAAAAAAAGTCTTGCTGCAAAAAAGAAATTCGAAAATAACCACACGCGCATGCTGCCGGGTTTCGAACCACGTATAAAAGCATGTGCCGTTGGAAGCATTAGCCGGCTGCCGCTGCGCTACTGCTACTATTGGTTCAACAGGGACGCCTAAATGCTTTTATACGTGGCAACTTTCGGTTTTTTACGAAGTACAAAAACGCGCGCCCGTCCGCCGTAAATCGATCTCCGACGAGTCGTTCGCAGCGCGCGCTTGCTGCCTCTGCGCCACGGCATCCTATGCGTCAACTCGTTCGTTCACCACATCTTTTAATATATACGTATATATTAAACATTTATTAATATACATGATCTTATTTAAATATACAATTTCGTATTACAGAAAGTTTATCGTTTATATGTTGAACATTTTATAATATATGATATATATATGTGTGTGTGTATAATTTTTTCAATATACGTTTTTTTGCGGGGAATTTTTTCAATATACGTTGCGCACACTGATTTCGGTCTGAAGAATACACAAGCTCTGAATAATAGACCTGCTGGCCTCCGCTTTGTTTTTGGGTTGACGTTCAAAAAATTTATAATTACTCTGAAAGGTAAATAAAGTGTTTGTGCATTTGGAAAAAATGTTCAGGACATTTTTGGGAAAAGTTAAATGTATTTTCTAAAATGTTCATCATGTATTATAAAATTTATTACGATAACACAAAGTACATGTTATCAATTTTTCGAGTAACTGTGCATTAAAAATTACAACAAACATATGCAGTAACTCTAATCCATGCGGGTATAAATATAAGATGAACATTCTTTTAAATACGATGAACTTTTTTTGTATTATAAAAACGTTCACCCTATATATATTGAACCATTTAGTAAACATTGTATGGATATGTATATCTTTTTTCAATATACGGCACACACACAGCGTAGGGCCCGAAGAATACACACGATCGGAAAAAGATAAAGAAATTCGGAAAACAGGACGGCTCGAACAGTAAAGCCGTGAACGATGCAGTGGCGCATCGGCACCGAGCTCGCTGTGCGAACGTAACGGCGCGTGTTCTAATCCCTGCGGGACCGCGCGGTCAAACTAATATTTTTATTATTTTATAAAAAACAGAATAGCAAATGTATACAAAGTTTTGCGCGTGACATTTAACATGATCAGTGCTGTAGGGCAGCGGTAACGAGCGCTAGTCCCGTGTGGCTGGTCGTCGGTTTGAGTCGCGGCTGGTTCCCGTGAATGTTTGATTTTTTGCAGGACCTTTTTCTGCCAACAAGTATATACGCGATAAAATATAAATTAAGGGTCTTTTTGGTAAAAGGACATGCTACATCAGCACCTGACAGGGGGTTCCGCCGGTTAGATACAGCGTCAATACACTGTTATACGCTCCTTAGTCCGTTATGCACCACTTAAGCCCTGAGTTGATACTAAACTACGACATGCACGAGTAGCGGTACTGATTCGTGAGTAGGTGCGCAAGTGTGGTATCAACATGCAATTAACTCGGCTATGATGGGGCAAGAACAGATAAATAACATCTCATCACAAGAACCATGCGTATAAAATGCACTACACCAAGCGGTCGCCGATCGATGTATCGTGTTGACAGGAATGACCGCACTTCACTCTACATGCATATCAAGATGACGGGAAGATTTGTCTCAAGAAGAATGCCACCTTAGTTAAAAACGAACGTGTGCTCTAAAGCCTCAAACAAGAAATAAGCAACCGATCGGCCCAAGACAAGGGCAATGCAAAACACATATTGCAGGTCAACTAGGCTAGTCGAAGAAGAACAGGCCATGCAGAGCAAAGCACCAAAGACAAATGTTCACTACTCCCTTCATTCCTAAATATTTGTCTTCCTAGAGATTTCAACAAGTGACTACATACGAAGCAAAATGAATGAATCTACATCCTAAAATATGTCTATATACATCCGTATGTGGTAGTACATTTGAAATCTAAAAGACAAATATTTAGGAACGAAGGGAGTACAAAAGTACAATGGAGAGGACAGAGATGAATCCGTGTTAGGACCTGACCATTTTGCTCGGTTCCTGTGGCTTCTCGCGCGCTCACGTGAGAAGACGACGGAGCGCCGAGGTGGCGGAGGAGCGATCAAGGCGGAGATAAACCCTAGAAAATGCGATGGCGGCAGCCGAACAGGCCAGGGGGTTTTATGGCCTCGCTCGAACGTGGCTGCCGTCGGATGCGTTGCCAGTGGGGCAACTGCAAATTAGGGATCCGGAGCTTTTGGGCTGTTTTGGTTGGGGCGCGGGCCAATGAAACTGAACAGTTTTTTTTTCTGAGAATCCTGAAACTGAAAAGTTGTTCAGTGCAGGTACAACAAGTCCTAATCAGCTGGCTATAGCAGATTTCACTGTATAATACCCTGATAAGTGCCACACGTGTGGCGCGAAGCAATTCCGCTCTGACTTTTTTATGAAGTTTAGTTACCCGAGGATGGCAAGTTTAGTTGTGAAACATGACAACTTTCTGTTTGGATGACAGGTTTCAGTTTTTTTTTGAATGACAACTTTAGTGTAAAAAATGCCAGGGTGGTGTTATTTCGTGCCACATGCGTGTCACTTATCATTTGGGTAGATCTTTCAATCAGGTTGTTCGCTCTTTTTTTTGAGATTTGAGAAACTGGTTGTCTACTTGGTAAGCTACCAACCAAAAATTGCGATCAATGAATGGACTTTTTAACTTATTTTCCCTCAATGTATAATGAGTGAGTTGTATACATAGTTTGAATGGTCTTAAAAAATTGTGATAAATATTTGCTTAATCTGGATATACAAAAAACATTTATTTATGATGGAAAATCAGTTTGTTGGTTTCACTTCCATCGTCCCCACAACTCCCATCGATACATGTCTCCTCCCACATTTTTTTTCAAACTACGCTATAAACCCCCCCAAAAAATCAAACCGACCCGGCACCATCTTGTTTGTGGGGAAAGAAATCCCTTGCAAAGATATCAACAAAAAATAAATAAATTATCAATAGCAAGAAATCCATTGCAAACAAACAACAAAGTCAACTCACATAGTTGTACATACACAGTCTCAATCGCATCATATATTCCTTACCTTTGTTTATGGATTCCCCCCCAAGAATCAAAATTCTCTTACAGTGAACCACTAGAATAAAGTTGACTCAATTGCAACACATGGGTATTTTGCTAGTAAAGAGTAGTGTCAAAGCTCATCACAAGTGCTTGATCTAATACAGTTGTGCTTAAAATTTCAATAGTATGAAATATTGTCCTCGAAGGCTATTTAACTCAGTGCGTATAAGTAGGGACTGAATTATGGCCCACCCGACTGTTTCCTCAGATTTTTGAAGAATTCACCAATGTTGATGGCATGAGGAAAGGGCTACAAAGATGCATCTTTGGATCAGAAATTCGCAAGGGCACGCAACATGCCCAGCCCTCGCCGACCATATGATTGCTTAGAGATCCACAAGGCGCACCAAGTTTTGAGTTTTAGTTTCCGAAACTTGTGATTTTATCTTGGTTTAAATAGGCAATTTCTCCTGGCCCAGCACGTCAGATGGGGATCGGCGACGATCCAGGGCCTGGCCAGACCAGTCCTGCCTATGGCCTAAGGTTGGGTTGTCCCTCCATCAGGTTTGGGCATCTCTTGCAATGATCATGGGTCGGCAGTTGGTGGCGGTGAGCAAGTTAGGGTCCTGGATGTCGGGGTGCGGTCCGCCTAGTTGGGCTCAGTGACCTAGGTGCTTCATAGTGGCACATGAAAGTTACAGAGCCAAAGCTCTTCACGTTGGCTGTGACAGTGGTGACGATCGCGTGTGTTGTTGTCCTCTTAAGGACGCTGTCATGATTCTTCTCCCTGTGCCAGGGCTCCATGTGAAAACCGATGTTCGTCCATTCAAACATGGCGGCAGCAGCACTTTGTGTCATTACCCTCATGGGACGTTGTCGTGGAGCTCAAGTCCCTTAGGACGTGGCCTGGCGCCATCCCCATGCTCCTTTGTGCTTATGCTTGGCACCATAGTCGTGACGTTCTTACTGCACGTGCACGTTTCTTGTTGTGCGATTTTGTTTGTCAGTTTTCTCTTTGATCTTCTTTGTAAGCCGGTTTTCTCGCTATTTTGTATCACTAAACCGCGTGGCTTATTTATAAAAGCAAGACGAAGCTTATTTCAAGTCTTAATAACTCTCTGCCTTATTTTCCTCTCATCAGTATTTTGGTTACCAAATTAGGTATTCTTTCTAGACAGCAAACTGAATTTATGTTCTATCTAAAATATTTTTGTTCAATTTTTTCCTGTGGTATTAGGTGAGTACTAAGATCTCGATAAGGTTTAAAGGATATCACATTAATGGCAATTAAGCGAAGGAAATATGCCCTAGAGGCAATAATAAAGTTGTTATTTTACATTTCCTTATTTCATCATAAATGTTTATTATTCATGCTAGAATTCTATTAACTGGAAACTTGATACATGTGTGGATACATAGACAAAATACTGTGTCCCTAGTAAGCCTATACTAGACTAGCTCGTTGATCAAAGATGGTTAAGTTTCCTAACCATAGACATGTGTTGTCATTTGATAAATGAGATCACATCATTAGGAGAATGATGTGATGGACAAGACCCATTTGTTAGCTTATCATTATGATCGTTTAGTTTTATTGCTATTGCTTTCTTCATGTCAAATACATATTCCTTCGACTATGAGATTATGCAACTCCCGGATACCGGAGGAATGTCTTGTGTGCTATCAAACGTCACAATGTAACTGGGTGATTATAAATATGCTCTACAGTTATCTCGGAAGGTGTTTTATTGGGTTGGCATAGACCGAGATTAGGATTTGTCACTTCGAGTATTGGAGAGGTATATCTGGGCCCTCTCGGTAATACACATCATAAGAAGCCTTGCAAGCAAAGTGACTAATGAGTTAGTTGCAGTATGATGTATTATGGAACGAGTAAAGAGACTTGGCGGTAACGATATTGAACTATGTATGAAGATACCGACGATCAAATCTCGGGCAAGTAACATACCGATGACAAAGGGAATAACGTACGTTGTCATAACGGCTTGACCAATAAAGATCTTCGTAGGATATGTGGAGCCAATATGAGCATCCAGGTTCCGCTATTGGTTATTGACCAGAGAGGTGTCTCGGTCATGTCTACATAGTTCTCGAACCCGTAGGGTCCGCACGCTTAACGTTCGATGATGATACTATATTATATGAGTTATGTGGTTTGGTAACCGAATGTTGTTTGAAATCCCGGATGAGATCATGGACATGACGAGGAGTCTCAAAATGGTGAAGAGGTAAATATTGATATATAGGACGATGGTATTCGGACAATGGAAGTGTTCCGGAGGGTACCAGGTACATATCAGAGTACCGGAGGGGTTACATTGACTTCCCCGCGAGGTGATAAATTTTGTTACGTTTTAAGATTGATGTTCCCTTGTACTAACAATGCGGCTGAGTATGAAGCCTTACTCCATGGTTTTTGGATGGCTAAAGAGATGAATCTAAGCCGGGTTATCAAGTGGAGCATGTGGATTGCAGGAAAAATGAAGTTGCTGGTGCTTTAAGCCGGCTGGGGTCTCAGCGTAAGCAGGTACCCCCTAATGTTTTCCTCGATGTTTTGCATAACCCATCAGTTAAATTGCCTACAGAGGAAGATCTTGCAATTCCTGACCCGAAGGCACAGTTGGTGGCGGCTCTCCATGTTATTCCTGATTGGACTGTTCCATATTTGTCTTATATGACCCATGGCTAGTTACCCGAGGATGAAACCTTGGCCAGGCAAATAACCCAGAGGTCTAAGTCAATGACTATCATCAATGGTGAGCTACACAGATGCAGTGTTACAGGGGTGTTTCAATGATGCGTTTCTCCTAAGGAGGGCCGTGAAATTCTAAGGGAGATTCATGAAGGAGATTGCGGCCATCATGCCGGCTCTAAATCTCTCGTTGCTAAAGCTTTTCGTCATGGGTTTTATTGGCTTACGGCTCATGCTGATGTGGAAGATCTGGTCAGCAAGTGTGATGGCTGTCAGAAATTTTCAAGACGAGCTCATGTGCCGGCTCAAGAATTGAGGATGATTCCAATTACTTGGCCATTTGCAGTCTGCGGGCTAGATATGCTTGGGCCTTTTAAAAGGTCCAAGGATAAAAAAGACTCATCTCCTGGAACCTGTTAACAAGTTTACAAAGTGGGTTGAAGCTGAGCCGGTCAATAAATGTGATGCAACAACGGCGGTTCAATTCATTAAAAAGGAAATCTTTCGTTTTGGATACTGATGAGGATTGAGGGAGTCCCGGATTAGGGGGTGTCCGGATAGCCGGACTATCATCATCGATCGGACTCCAAGACTATGAAGATATAAGATTGAAGACTTCGTCCCGTGTCCGGATGGGACTTTCCTTGGCGTGGAAGGCAAGCTTGGCGATACGGATATGTAGATCTCCTACCATTGTAACCGACTCTATGTAACCCTAGCCCTCTCCGGTGTCTATATAAACCGGATGGCTCTAGTCCGTAGGACAACAACAATCATTACAATCATACCATAGGCTAGCTTCTAGGGTTTAGCCTCCTTGATCTCGCGGTAGATCCACTCTTGTAAACATCTACAATATCAATATCAATCAAGCAGGACGTAGGGTTTTACCTCCATCGAGAGGGCCCGAACCTGGGTAAAACATCATGTCCCTTGTCTCCTGTTACCATCCGCCTAGACGCACAGTTCGGGACCCCCTACCCGAGATCCGCCGGTTTTGACACCGACATTGGTGCTTTCATTGAGAGTTCCTCTGTGCCGTCACCGATAGGAAGGATGCCTCCTCCCGTCTTCAAGGACGGTATTTTCGCCAAAGGAACCTTGGCCGCCGGCCAAACTATCCGGCTAGGTGGTTTTCTTATGACCGCCTGTCCGGCCACCGCTTCGACAATGACCTCTCAAGTCGTCAAAAGCAATCTTCACGTCCGCTCGGAATTCGCCGAGCGGCTGGATCCAATAGAGCTCTCGTCCGTAAACGA